TATGTCATTTGGCATCCCATTGGTATGTAAATCATATGAACTCACGAACCAAAATCTGAAGGAACCCTTTATATGAAAGAAAGCTTCGTCATGAGTGACGAAAGTAACGTCGTTGTAATTTGCCCAGGCAAGAGAAAACAATGGGAAACCTTTATAAGGGTAAAATGTTAAAACAAAGTCTGGCAATGATGGTGATGTTCCTGTTGGTGATCCTTCAAAACAAGAAACAAGTACCCTCAAAAGACCCCAAACAATACTATGCACCATGACCGACAGCCGCCGACCACAAGCAGTGGAGATTGCCGTAGATCTCCTCCCAAGGCATGCTGAATGGGCTGACCTTGCCTCGCATGGAAACGTGGAAGTCGCTACGACGCAGCTCCTCGTCCATCAAGTGTCCGCGCTCCTCCTGTATGTAGAAGCACACTACGGACGTCCACACAGGATATGCGGCTGCGGCCTCAATCCACCGCACCTTCTCTTGATACAAGAAATCCAAAGGATACCCATGCCAGTTGTCGTTAGCGAGAGCTTGCGGGCACGCAGTGTGCCGCATACGAGCACGCAGTGTGCCGCATACAACTCCAGCACGTCCGGCACAGTGGCCGCTTGCACACTCTGCACAGCTGCTTTCGGGTGGGGGGTCTGCCCTTACTGGAAACATCATACCATGTTCGTTGGCTGCTAGTGACCCTCTGCAAAAAGTTTAACTTTTTGTGAATGGAACATCCGATTTGCTTTTTTAAACAAAAAGTTGGGGTTCAAAGATCCGTTACCAAATAGTCACAAGTCTCGAGAACACATGCAAGAACGTGTTCCCAAGGTTCCATGTGTGAGTTCTCTGGAAATTAACTTCGACACCTGCGAGTTCTCCCCAAATAGCCACAAGCGTTTCTTCCATGTGCTTAAGTCCACTAGGAAAGTACGCTTATTACAGTAGTGCTAGATTCCCTTTAACGCCACCTGCGGGAAAAAAAACATGCTTAACTCACTTCCTGAGTGGATTGGCAAAAAAAGAGTTCTGGGACTTGTTATTTAGCACTTAAAGCGGTCTTCCCAAGAAGTCCAAAGTCCAGGAACGCAGTTGGGCGAGCTGCAAATGGACGTTTTGGAGGGATGTCAGCCCTACATCAACCCCAAACTACCACAAGGCCCACCCTATGAAGATCTAAGCCAGCCGAAACCAGCCCCCAGCAACTCCCTGCCTTCCAATCGGAGCCAATAAACAAGTCCGGGCCAAGTGATGCTGGTGATGCCAGGGATGCGGCAAGGCAACCACCCAACCACCCAACCACCCAACCAACCAACCAACCAACCAACCAACCAACCAACCAATCAACCAACCCAGCCCAAGTAAAAACACCAGCCCTAGAAAAAGAACAAACAACTGATCCCTCTCAAGTGAGCATAACAAAAAGTATTCGCCAGTCATGACTGCGCCCCTGTGAAACCTACGGGGAACACATCAACATCTGGGCCATGAAAACAGTTGTTCTTCGCAGTTGGCACCCAAAGTCGGCTTGGAACCAACATGCTACCAGGCGCCAACCGGCCAACTTAAAACAAGTGGAGCCTTTCAGGGCTCTGGCAGTCACCATCTTGCACAGCCTCTCCAAATCAGCTGCAATCAATTCTACAGGAAATCGGCACAACCCCCCCTTTTTTTTGGGGGGGGGGGTGTTTGCTTCATTGAGCGCTGGCTTTGCCGGTTTCTATGAGTATTGACCAGAAAACAACCTCACACATCTGCAGGAATGTCGGAACCTAATCTGAGGTGACTGAATCCCCCCCCTTAAACCCAAGGGACGGCTTTTGGGGTACTTTTGGGTGCCTTCAGTGGGGGTCCCTCTCACGACCTATCCGGAAGGAGAACAACAGGACTCCACTCACCAACTCACCGTCTAAAAGTGAGCCAACTCCCTGGAAACTCTTTCTAGTCCTTTTTTCTGGAGTCTATTTTAGTGGGGACCTAGTCTATGAACAAACACTACAAATCCAGGCGCCAGGCGTGAAAATAGATCGCCAGAGTCCAGTCCTTGTTCACCAGCGCGCGATAGATCGCCTGCCGGAGCCATGTGACTGGCAAAGAACCGTGTCCCCCGCTCAGACCAGCTGAAAAGGCCAATGAGTGCATGCTTTTCTTTTTTGTTTTTCTTGCATTTTGGAGGGGTTTCCCTTGATGTCTTTTTTTGGACTGTCCATGGCTTCGGTTCTCCTCTTGTTCCTCTAAAACGTGGTCCCCTCAAACAGAGACGAGCCAGCCCCCCTGTCAGCCCTGTCAGTTGCATCCAAGGGAGTGGTGCCTGTCCCACAGTCGGTCCTATCTTCCAAGATTCTAGGATGGCTTGTCTGCAACACCCAAACCACTCCCCTCAGGAAAAACGAATCATATAACCTTGACATATAGTGCCTGCACAACGGTTTTATCCCAAGCCTTTGTCATGCTAGTACACAAAACCGACCGGTTGCTTACCCTGGCAACAGGAAGCGAGCTCATCTTTCCCAGCTCGCCACGAACAAAACCAAGTGGCCCTGAAAGCATCCACTCACTTCCCAAGTGGATGGTCCGACAAAAGTCCAAACTGTTTGTTTGCTACTAAAATGGTCTTCCCAAACAGTTTGATGTCCAGGAACTCAAGAAGCGAGTCCATGTTTTCCTCACGCCACTCGTAGTTTTCTGCAGAGGAGAACGATGATCACCCGGCCTAAAAAAAAGAACCCATGGAATCTCTGACCCTCAAAATGTTACTCGATATAAACACAGACTAACTAATTAGTTTTTTGCTACCACAAATCTACCAACAGTAAAACATTGCTAGATAGATATGTACAATCAATTCCTTTTAAGTTGAATCAAATTCAATATTTGAACCTGTGCGAGGTTGCGATTTCGCTTTGCAACCATTGTTGAAACCATTGCTTGTTTGTTTTCGTATCTACAAGGGAATCGAATCATTCCAGGGTTTCCTCAAGAGGTGCTTGATTTCGTCCAACCACAGTTGGGGCCCCCTTCTTTTCGGGCAGTGGTCTTTTTCCATGGTTTTGCCTTAAAACCAACCCAAAGGGGTTCTGAAAACAAATGACCCCAAAATCGGTGGTGGTCCTTTTCTACGGTTTCCCTTTAAAGCCAACCACATGGGTGGGTTCCCTTTCAACAATGACACAGCCCGTGGGTTTAAACGCCATGCTCCGATTCAACCTGGCACCCTCCCGCACCGCGAGGGAGTTCAGGGAGATGGACCAAAGTCATCCTCGGCACTCGAGTGCGGGGTTCGATGCGCCAAGTTTCTAGGGGTAACTTCCATTTCCATTCTTTCCAGGGATCCTTCTTTCTAGAAAACCACCAAAAACCCAGGGGAAATGGCTGGTGTTTGAAAAGAACAATGGCTGAAAAGAATGGGGAATCAACCCCTAGAAAGTTACTCGGTTGCTTTCTGCTCCCCTGCTAAAAGTTTAACTTTTAGCGGTTTAATTCGGAAAACCCACTAGTTGGCAAAAAGTTAAAGTCCTAACATCCAGGCAAAATGCACCAAAGGCAAGTTAGGCTATACCCCCAAAGTGGAATCAACCCTGTTATTCGTGGTTTGACCAATCCCTGGTGCGAAATGGCTTTTGTCCACAGCTCCAAAAGGTCGCTGAACAAACCAAGAGCTCGGGGGGTTGTCAGGGTTATGTCCCCTAGCGACCCCACAGGGAGCTCAACGGCTAGGAATGTTTACCTTCTTGCGAAACAAGACTCCGTCCCCCGAGAAACAATCATGGAGGAGTCAACAAACCCCGAACTGGCGGCAACTGTGGTTTGCCTGGTGGTGAACTTCCTACCGAGAAATTACCAAGTTGGTGCTGTTGTCCACGCCACTTTACTCTTGAAAACAGTCAGTTGCTGGGAAATGCTTTGGGTACCCCTTCTGGGTTTTGAAGGCAAACCACGGAGGTCCATTCATGCGGCGCCCAAATTCCTGTTCACGACCCTGCGAGTACTCCTTTTGGAGGGTGCTTTCCAAGAAGCCAAGCTTTCTCCCTCTCGTTGACCCGTTGCCCAGTGATCGTTTCTTCTGGGGTTGATCGTGTTTTTGAGGGGGCGCCTTCATGATTGGAAAACCTGGTGGTAACATGATCAAACATTCATTGTAACAGCATCCTTTTGGCAACCTCGAAAGGGGGTCAAGGGCTCAGTTGCCCAAAGGACCCAGAAATGGAAGATCAACCTTTTGGGACCATGACTCAACATGGACCAAAATGTCGGAAACTAAAAGGTCGGATTCAGTCGAGTCGCTTTGGGCACGTGAGAGGGCCTTGCTCAATCAAACTTTTCCCAACCCGCCGCATTTTCCGCCGCTTTCGCACAGAAGGCGGTCCGGCGACCGTAGCTCCTTGCGACGTCTTGGAACCCAAAGTCAGACACGGTTTCCGACGCTGAACTCCCAAATAAACAAACACCGGGAAAATATCCATGGATTTTTAATATTGGTCTCTCTGTGTTTGAGGCTCGGTACCCCTTTTCGGGTTGGTTCAAAGGGAAACTGAAACCGAAAGGAAACCAACCATTGTCCAAATCCTCGAAAAAGCCGACTTCGGAGGAAACTGCTCCATTTCTGAGAGCCAGACATGGTTTCACATTGGGACCCGAATTCGCCATAGCTTCACTTAGGCGTCCCAAGGGACCCTGCGGTAGAATGCGGTAGATGTGCTACATGCAAGTCTCGGAACAAAGGAACACGCGCCATCTCTGTGCAGTGGGTAGCAGGTGCATGACGAATGATCTTTGGACCATGTTTTTACAGGAAATCCCTTGAGATGTTCCTTCATCTTCGCAACAATTTCTGAACCAGGATCAAACGCGTTTCGCACTTATCAGCCCCAGCCAAGGTATAAAACACCAAAGACCCCAAAAGCCAGAGCAAGCCACAAAGCCAAATAAAAGTCCCAAAAAACCACCAACAAGCCCCCCCAATCACCCCGACAACCTGCGACGCATGGATCGCTCCTTCCGATTCGCGTTACGTGGGTTCGGGAACCGGCAAGTAGGCTGCGGCCGCGAGCTCCGGGCCGTAGGACAGGAAGATGAGGGCGAAATTCAACACCTGTCGAATCCGCCGCTGACACGCGAAGCTGGGTAATCTCCAACAGCCCCGGAACTGAATCTCTGGAACTCTCCCTGAAAGCTGCCCGAAACTGGCCCTTATCGCCTACCTGGGCCGAGAGACCCCATAGCTTCCAGCTGTTGGGGAATTAAAGGACAAAAGGCACTCCCAGTGGATCCCAGGCAAGCCAGCATAGTGGATGGACAAGATCCATTTCGCACCACTTTGAACCCATGGGAACCCATTGTTTGTTGGTATATGCAGGGGAAGCATCCTTCCCGGTTTCTTAGGTGGTGCAAGAAACGGATTTCGCAACCGATGGATCCGCTGGGACTGGGTGGGGTATGAAACTGGATGCCAAGAGGCCACCAGCCATTGAGCTAAGCCCATCCTCGGCTGAAAAGTCGAGGGCGGCGTCTGCCTGTCTACCCTCCAACATAGGTGTCCTTTCAGGGGAAATAGAGGGCCCTGGCAGACGATTAAACCACCAAAGAAACCACGTCTATTTTTCTACCAAAACGACCAAAAAGGACACCTCTGCCCTCCAAATTTGCACACGGGTGGCTCTTGTCTTTTTTGAGGTTCGCTTCCCCATGTTCTTCTGTGATGCTTTCAAGGGACGCCAAAAGAAACACCACCAAGAGAAAGAGGCTCCCAGTGCGGAACCCTGTTGCGACACGTGTTGCAGCCTGGAGGGCTAATCTTGGGCACCCTAAGGGGTTCTACTCGACTTCCGGGTTGAACATTTACCTTGTAGTACAAGAAAGTCAAGCAACATCGGCAACAAACAGGAGATGCTTACACCAACGAAAGAGAAAGGACGTGGGTCTCTCTGTTTTAAGGTACCCTTGATGCTGGTGGTTGTTAAAGGAATCAAAAAGAAAACCCGCCGAAACTGGAAGTCCCCCGCAGATACATGACACAAGAACCCTTCTTACCCTTTCGGCTTTTGGCAATGAAGCTGGGAAGGAATCAACCAAAGGCCTGGTCCTCATAGGATGGTGACTTGTAGGGAAAGACCTGGCATCAACTTCAACTCAAGCCGCATTCGGGATCCATGTCCTATGTCTTCAGGGACCTCCACCCAGTCATCCTGGGCGTATGACCGAATCGCCATGGAAAAAAATACTGGCCCATGGGGGCTCAACCCTTGATCGCCTCGACACAGTCGATGTTTCAATTTGGGCGTTTATTTGCTGGTGGTTACCCGTTTTTGCCGTTTCGAAAGAAAACCAAAACAACATTCTTTTTTGCGGGTGAGACAGTACCGCAGATGTCTGAGCCCATGCCACCGAGCAACCGGCTGCGCATCCTAGGCGGCACGTGGGGAGGGGCTTGACTGTTCTCTAAGATTTTCTTCAAGAGCTGATTTTCTCCAAAAACATTAAACTGGTCTTGCCACAAGTTTAAAGTCCTTGGAACTCGGGGAGTGAGAATCGGAAAGATGACTTTGAACCCTGCGTTGGTTCAACGTGATGGGGGCAATTGGAGCTCGTTCGCCCGCTTTGCACTTGGCCATTCCAGCAGCGTTGTGTCCGTGAAAGGTGTTACGTCTCCCCAGCTCCTTGGCATTTCAAGTTCACGCGTATAGAAAGGAACTTTTCCGCATCGGATTGCTTGCAAATTCCAAGGTCTCCAAGCAGGCCTACCCTTTCGGTTTTGCTGCGCTTGTCGATTA